GTGGTCACTGAGATGCCCCCCATGGTTCCTTCTGCTGCATCTGTGGCTCCGGTTGCCCCTAACCCAGGCGCCGCCCCCATGGAGGCCATGTCAGGAGTCCAGAACCAGGAAGAAGGGCAGGCGGTACCACCCTACAAATATGACCTGCTGAACAGCCTGCCATGTGAGTGGAATAGCACCTATAGGTCCATGCTGTGTTGAGAAGAATACTGCTTTATGTACTATGGCTTTACTTTGGCAGTCAGGCACTTCTGCAATAGTTTCTTGCATGTTATCCAAAAAATAATTCATTGTAATTCCCCTACCATAAAAACAGGGTGTCAACTTTATTTGTTATTGCTGCATGCAGCACAATGCCGACATTGTAATACATTCACTCGAAACAGCTGCCTCCAATTGACTCATTCGATGGATTATAGGCTATCAGGCATTAGTGAAGTAGTCTGGAATACCTGTCTGTCTGTCACACCCATCAAATGGCACACACTGGCAGCTGTCTGAAAGTGTGGGGGATGGTAAGACAGGTTCTGTAGTTATAAAATGTTGACTATTTTTGAAGTGCCCACAATTCTTCTAACACTACATTATTTGACTCTGGTTTCAGTGACTGACCTGGACATGAAGTTCCAGTACCGGGGTCGTAAGATGGGCTCCCTGACCGTGAGTAACCCCCAGGGCTGCCGGCTGTACTACGGCCACCTGGAACCCACCCCGGAGCAGGTGGAACTGTTCGGCCCCGTCACCCTCAACCAAGTTCTCTTCCCTGGCTCGGCCGACATCCAGAACGAGAAGCAACGGTTCTACACAGAGCACCTGCTGGACGTGATGGACCGAGGCCTGATCCTGGAGATCTGGGAACAGGATATATACGCTATCAGGTTGTGTCAGTGCAAGGTGTATTGGTCTGGGCCGGGAGTGGACGAGCAGGGGCCTCCCAACCCTATGGAGAGGGAGAGGAAGTACAAAGTGTTCAGCCTCAATAACTTCCTGCACGGTGAGTCAGTCAATCCATTTTATTGCTGGATATTTTTGTCAACTAAGGCAGCAGTTTCATAGTGTTTGAATCCCCATCTGATCCCTCAAAACCCCTTGTTTTTCGATTGAGATCAAATAATCACATAACACCAAATTATCCTGTCAGATAACAATGCTGGACTCCATTGCCATGATTTTTCAGTTCACTTGAGGCTCTCTGAGTTTCAATTGATCCCTGAATATTTCAGTCACATGCCCTTTCTGTGAGTAAGCGCTTGAGTAGTACTGCTATTGTTGCACAGCCCAGGCATCTAAATGGATTAGCTGTAGAACAGATATCATATACACAGTGATTATCGCATTACAGGAGATTCTGTTGCTCAAGTGTCCTTTCTCTTTCTTTCTCCCTCTCATGCACACACATACACACCAACAACAGGGCTCATCTTGTTCCAGAAGGGTGAAACTCCCACCCCACCCCCGTTTGAGCTTTACTTCTGCTTCGGGGAGGACTGGCCAGACCAACGGAAACCCAAGGAGAAGAAGCTCATCGTTGTGCAGGTGAGCAGAACGAATTGACCCCATACCCTAGTTGATCATTGACAGATACAGTACACACACATGAAATGATCACATTGACTTAACAGGGACCCTCCCATCTCCTCCATCCATTTCATGTCCAGGTGGTCCCAGTGGTGGCACGGATCCTAACAGAGATGTTTTCTGGAGAGCTGTCCTGGTCCACAGACAGCATCCGGCTACAGATCTCCAACCCAGACCTGAAGGACCAGACGGTGGAGCAGTTCAAGGAGCTCCAGAGACTTCTCCAGAGCCAGCACGGCCTGGGACCCTGGGCCACCAACAGACCCTGAGTCAGGGGCCTCTTGCTGGGGAGGCTGGGTCTTCAACAGGTCCTGGATCATGGCCTCACAACACAGGGACATGATGGCACACTGCTCTTGGATCAATAACCTTGTTCAACTGCCTTCAATGTTGTGTGTAGGGATATTAGCATTCTTTCAACCCTGAGCCTCCCTCATTCTATGGTAGACACCATCAATAGAATCTTCATCCGTACCATCCAGCCTAGAGCCATGAATCTTATATTTCTTAACTACATTGTCAAAACCCAGACTACTGTATCTTAACTCCTATTTTGTCATAATTGTAGAGCTGTGTCAATGCTTTTTGGTCCCTTAAATTATTTTTATGAATTGCAATAAAAACCATTGCAGTATTTATTTTCTAATGTTGGCAGGTATTATTCCCTCCTCCCTCAATTGTTACTTTTGAATGTATCAATTTTCTTCCTTTCGCAGCCACCTTTTAATATACTGTACTAGAGCAACCACAACACTATCTTTAAATGAATGTATTGTTACTGGCTTTCTCTCGAGAACGGACACTGATGCTGTGCCAAAAATGGGACTCTGAAAGCCATAAATGCAATGTGGAATGTTATTTTTAATAAATACTACGTATGAATACATTACATCAGCGAAGTGGTAATTTCTTCCCTGACCAAAACGAAGAATTTCGTACTTGAGATTTTGCTGTGAAATAACTGTCAATGAGGGTGTTTAAGTCAAGGTTTTGTAAGGATGCAGTTGAGAATGGGTGAAAGCATCCACTGGTATTGTCGCAGTTCACCCTCAGATTTCATAGGTAATTCTAGGGGAGAATTCCAGAACAGTGAGAAACGCCTGCCTCCATGTTCCGTTTACAGCTGAACCTGTCAGCAAATTACCCTCGGAAGGGTGGTGAGTGACATCAGCTATGTGGCTTATATGGAGTTCTACACGCATTCACTGGAAATTGGATTTTGATTAGTGTGAATGGGATCGAGAAAATTAGGGGCTTGTGTTTGTGCATGTTAACGGTATGGTTGCATGTGTGGAAGTGTCTCTGGATATATTTCTGCCGAGTTGAAGCTACTTAAATGCATGCATGTCGGCATCTGTCTGGACATTTATCTAAGTAGAATACAACAAATGCATAATATCAGTGTGTGTATGTGTGTGTTGTCTGACAGACTACAGTGGCTCTGCAACAAAGAACACCTTGACCAACTGGTTTCATCCAGAGAATGAGTGGGGGTGAGGGGTCTGGTATGAACAAAAGTCTAAACTCTAAAACATGATACACAGACAAGGGCACGTTTGTTCCTCACGGTCGTTTTTATTGTTGTTCACAACATGGCTACCGCATCCCGTGGTGTCTGCCTCCCCAAGAATGGACGATGCCAGATGTGGAAGAACAAAAAGAAAAAGAAAAAATATACTATTTGCCAGAGTCCCACTCGACCAGTCACAACTCTCCTTCCCTGGCAATAGAGAACAGTAAAACTCCAGCCAACATGTTTAAAAAGGGCAAAGGTGACGCCAAATCTCCCAGCATTCCCTTCAACCATTTCCTAAATGCCTCCACAAGGCAGTGGTGACCATTTTGTGAAGGGCATCGTGGGTTTGCTATTTATTTTTCTATATGGCACCGACAGCAAGACCATGTTAAAGTTCTAAAGACACATCCATGAAAATAAATCATTTCTCAATTTAAAAACGTACAAGTCTTTTTTTGATGCATTATGATTTGCAACCAGGCACATCCTTTGTTTTTTTTTCTTTGTTTTTTTCCCCTTCCCTTCTCTTGTTCTTTTTGAAGATGGATCCTGTAGAAATCCAACTGACGCAGAACTAACCCCATTCCATTTCTTTGAGTCGGTGAATTCTCGTTCCTCCTCGGACCTGCCCCCCCCCGCCCCACCCCCTTTCAACCCTTGTGCCACCTGTTACTGTGGCGACAGTGAGCGAGAGGGAGCGGAAAGGGGGGCTTCTCTTCTCACACGGCCAAAGTCGAAAGCGCGTTTCGTTTACGGGTTCACCCTGTCACTCCAATCCTTGCGATGCGTCTTGATTGGCTTTCCACAGTGCCAAGTCCCGCCCATCTGTCCAGTAGGAGATCCCTTTAGATTCTCATCTGCTGCGGTCTTCAGCCTCTTTGCCGTCACCTCTGAATGTTCGCCAAAATATTTAACCTGAGGAAGAAAAACAATGAAAGGACAATAAGAAATCAATAGAGATCTTACTGACACTTGCCAACCTAAATATGATCAGATGTTTTTTTTGGAACCATCTAAAGACATGGGGTGAGATGAGTCTGCAGATCCCAGTGCGGGGGGTTGTTTGTGTTTCTGTGTTGATGCCTTGCCTGGTGTTCTGGCAGAGCTCTTTGGGCGTGGCTATCGGAACAATCTGGTGAACTCCCGGATGGCCCAGCACACCTGCTTACACTCCTCCGCACTGGAGAGATGGACAGATGGAGAAAGAGGGGGTGGCAGGAAGAGAGGGGAGCGAGAAAGGGCAATGTTATTAATGTGGTGCATTTACATGGTAAAGGTTATATCAAATGAAATAGGAAAAGAAAAAGGTAATTCAACACATTCAGACTCGCCATTTATTCAAGTTTACTTTAAATTAATCTGAACTGAAATTAACCCATGTCTAGCCTGCAGGTTTGTCTCACAAGACTCCTACTGTGAACTCAAATTGCTCCCTCAGATGACAGCTAGATAGTATTTCTGTCTGAAGCTCCCATTCCCTCAGAGAGACTGCGTGGGAGGGAGGGTGGATCGCTGAAAAGGGGAAGGAACGCTTCTAGGCATGCCTGAACCTGTGGCAGGGAATCCATGAGGTTTCCCTACACCGGTTTTCCAGCGTTCCACTGCCACAGGAGCAGCTCGTTTGAGCATGCCCAGTGACACATGAGCTCTTCCCAGAGTCAGAACATAAACAGCTAGCTATTTTCTAGTAGAAAAACAGCTGACAGGGAGTCAGCTACTATGCAGAGTTTCACCTGACATAACTCCTGAACCTATGAGGACAACATGTGGCTAGTTAGATCATTTCTGGCAGGAAGGAATGCACCTGATGGGTACGACTGCACCAGATTACACTTGAAAAGCATGGAAGGGGCGTGGCTGTGATATGCTCACCTGGTGACTTGCTTGTGGAAGTCTGTGAGCTGTTTGTTTGTGACGGTCACCGCCCCGCCTGACGTCTCCTTAGGAAGCCCCTTCAGCGCATTCTCTAGCCAGCGGCAGAACGTCTAGAAAACATATCCGCAACGTTAAACATCAAACTCACATCAGGAGGCAATGCAATCGTAGTACTACAACACACTTTTATCTCATGATTGAAAGTCCTGTCATGCCCATGTCATTGGAAGTGTGTGTGAATATGAATTGTGGTCCCTGTTGAAAGATGTTCTCTTAGCGCCATCTTGTGGTATGACAGCGAGCACCCGTTGAAGACACCAGTGCATGTGTACGTTCAACTGCATATGTACAAGTACTGTCAGGAGTGAAAGAGCTAAGTGTGTGTGTGTGTCTCACCGGCCTGTCGAACACCATGATCTCCCAGAGCACCTCAGCCACGTCGGGGAGTGTGTAAGGTGGCAGGCAGAAGCAGCATGTGTGCATGAGCTGGGTAACCAACTGCTGCCCGTGCTGCCCCATGGCCTGGCTTATTAGCTGCTTCCGCAGCTCAAAGTCATCCTCGTGCTGCAACGGGAAGAAAACACATGACAATCTGACTGACAGATTGTTGTTATTCAGAGGATACTTTTTATAGATCAAACTGAGTGAATCTGCATGTTTGAGGGGAACAGTTTGAGCAAGGTGAGGCACAGATTTGATAGTCTTGATGACATAAAGAATAATTTGTGATACAAATGTATTTGTAGATCAGTGATTCTGCGCATTCTGCAACAGAGAAACAAACTGACTGTTGAAATAGATTTTCCTTTTTTAGGGGGTTAGATCAGCTTTAATATTGCAGATAGATTGTAGCTTCCATCAATGTAATTGTCAGCATCACTTCCAACCCCCCATATCTTTTTTGCAATATACAGTACCAGTCAAAAGTTTGGACACACCTACTCATTCAAGGGTTTTTCTTTATTTTTACTATTTTCTACATTGTATAATAATAGTGAAGACATCGAAACTATGAAATAACACATATGGAATCATGTAGTAACCCCAAAAAAGTTTTAAACAAATCAGAAAATATTTTATATTTGAGATTCTTCAAAGTAGCCACCCTTTGCCTTGATGACAGCTTTGCATTCTCTCAAGCAGCTTCATGAGGTAGTCACCTGGAATGCATTTCAATTATCAGGTGTGCCTTCTTAAAAAGTTAATTTGTGGAATTTCTTTCCTTCTTAATGCGTTTGAGCCAATCAGTTGTGTTGTGACAAGGTACGGTTGGTATACAGAATATAGCCCTATTTGGTAAAAGACCAAGTCCATATTATGTCAGGAACAGCTCAAATAAGCAAAGCGAAGGTTAGTCAATACAGTGCAGTCGCAAAAACCATCAAGCACTATGATGAAACTGGCACTCATGAGGTCAGCCACAGAAAAAGACCCAGAGTTACATCTGCTGCAGAGGATAAGTTCATTAGAGTTACCAGCCTCAGAAATTGCAGCCCAAATAAATGCTTCACAGAGTTCAAGTAATAGACACATCAACATCAAGTGTTCAGAGGAGACTGTGTAAATCAGGCCTTCATGGTCGAATTGCTGCAAAGAAACCACTACTAAAGGACACCAATAATAAGACGACTTGCTTGGGCCAAGAAACATGATCAATGGACATTAGACTGGTGGAAATGTGTCCTTTGGTCTGGAGTCCAAATTGGAGATCTTTGGTTCCAACCGCCGCGTCTTTGTGCGACGCGGTGTGGGTGAACGGATGATCTCTGCATGTGTAGTTCCCACCGTAAAGCATGGAGGAGGTGGTGTTATGGTGTGGGGGTGCTTTGCTGGTGACACTGTCTGTGATTTATTTAGAATTCAAGGCACACTTAACCAGCATGGCTACAACAGCATTCTGCTGCGATACGCCATCCAATCTGGTTTGGGCTTAGTTGGACTATCATTTGTTTTTCAACAGGACAATGACTCAACACACCTCCAGGCTGTGTAAGGGCTACTTTACCAAGAAGGAGAGTGATGGAGTGCTGCATCAGATGACCTGGCCTCCACAATCACCCGACCTCAACTAAATTGAGATGGTTTTGGATGAGTCAGACCGCAGAGTGAAGGAAAAGCAGCCAACAAGTGCTCAGCATATGTGAGAACTCCTTCAAGACTGTTGGAAAAGCATTCCAGGTGAAGCTGGTTGAGAGAATGCCAAGAGTGTGCAAAGCTGTCATCAAGGCATAGGGTGGCTACTTTGAAGAATCTCAAATATAGAATATATTTTGATTTGTTTAACACTTTTTTGGTTACTACATGATTCCATAAGTGTTATTTCATAGTTTTGATGTCTTCACTATTATTCTACGATGTAGAAAATAGTAAAAATAAAGAAAAACCCTTGAATGAGTAGGTGTTCTAAAACTTTTGCCAGAGCGAGAGAATATATACATACACCCTTCTAAAATATATATATATATATATATATATTTTCCTTTATTACTTTCTAACCCTACTAATTCTTCATCATTCCTGGACCTGTGACCAAAAACAAGCTACATTTGGACAGTACCAAAACAAATGATCTAATGATTCGGTCTCCTCGCAGCAAAATTTGTAGAGCTGGGAAGATTGTATCCCCCATATCAATAACATTCTATTGGATGCTAGAATTTTGTATAATAATTTAAATTGAAAGATTCTAAGATTTGAATCCGGCGTCGTTTTGCGTATCAGTTCATAAACCATGTGCCATGGAATCGGTACGTAAAACAATCTCTTACCAACTATTTTGCAATCTATATGGCACGGCTGTCAATTTTTTGGTCCTTCAATTAAACTGATATTAATTAAATTAATTTTTCTTAATCACAATTTTCTTTAACCAATTATGGTCTTTAATGCAGGGCCGACAGTTCCTTACTTTTCCCCCCTTCCACTTTCCTCTTTGATTTTTGCGGTAACGCTGCAATTAGTTGGTTGTAATTTTGGGTAGAGCAGACATTTCCATATGTTTTTGTTAGCTGCATGTGCGACATAACTCCACCAGTCCTACCTTTTTTCAAAAAATAATGGGTTTCTTTATCAATTAGTATATTTGAGTTTGACCACAATATTTGTTGCATTATTTGTTCTGTCCTTTCTGGAGGATTAAATTGAAATTGCAACCAACTTTCTATGGCTTGTTTAAAAATAGCGATATTTGGGAGATGATTTCCTTTTCAAATAACTGAAAGTGAGGTTGTAATCTGAATAAAGGGGAAAAGGCCATTCTTGAACATTGGGTGAGACATTCTTACAAATTTGCAAGAGAACCAGTTTGGATTTAAGTATAACTTTTGTATGACTGAAGCCTTTAGTGAGAGGTCTAATGTAGCTCAGCCTCCTGTAGCTCAGTTGGTAAAGCGTGGCGCTTGCAACGCCAGGGTTGTGGGTTCGATTCCCATGGGGGGCCAGTATGAAAAATGAATGCACTCACTAAACTGTAAGTCGCTCTGGATAAGAGCGTCTGCTAAATGACTAAAAATGTAAAGCTTTAATGTTTAATAATTCATATTCATTATATAAATAGGCACATTTAATTTTGTCTGGCTTGCCATTCCAAATAAAATTGAATATTTTTCTAATGTAATTTAAAACAAACTGTTTGCTAGGTGTAGGCAAGACCATAAGTAAATAGGTAAACTGGGATAATACTAAAGAGTTAATCAGGGTGATTTTTCCACAAATAGACAGGTATTTACCTTTCCATGGTAGCAAGACCTTCTCAATTTTTTGTTAACTTTCTATATAAATGTATTAGAGTGAGATCATTTATTTCTTTTGGGATATGTATACAGAGTATATCCACATCACCATCAGACCATTTTTATTTTACACGGTAATGTAAAAGTTGTATTTTTTTGTGATCCAATACATAATATAGTACACTTATCATAATTTGGTTGTAATCCAGAGAGGTTAGAAAAAGTATCTAGATCCTCTGAGGCTGTGGAGGGATCCAAGTTGTGGATTTAAAAGAAAACATGAATCATCTTTGTACAATGACACCTTTGTTTTTAAGCCCTGGATTTCTAATCCCTTGATATTATTGTTGGATCTGATTTTAATAGCTAACATTAGACTGACTGTTTGTTGGGGGTGACTCACGTCATTGATGACGCCCGTGTGGATGAGGTCTCTGACGAACTTCATGACACTGCAGTTGGCGTCCCGGTGGTCCAATGTGGTGGCCGCGATGGCACACTGGATGATGTGGACGATGATGCCACTGCTGAGCAGGGTGACGGGACTACGCTGGACAAACCTGCAGGGAGAAGAAGCGAAAGAGAGACGGAAATAAAGAGTGAGAAGGACATGGCAGAGAGAGATACAATGGTTAGTTTTTATTCTTGCCACTTAAAAGTAAGTGAACTTATTATTTCAAGGGAGAGGAGCAACTGTCTGAACTGTGTTCCAGTTGATCATACCTGGTGGCGAGTCTGAAAAGGTCGTCTACTGTGTCTGGGTGGTTACGGAGACCGTTGGACTGCTCCAATAGCTGGAAGGTGGGCATACACAGAGCCTACGGGGAGAGATGGGACAAAGTCAGTTCAAAACCAATAGCAAACAACCAGAGTTCCACTGCCACTCTCGTGAACTATGAGTACCTATGAAAGTGGTGTGTGTTTCCCCTACCTGTAGCATGTCCAGTAGACCTTGTCTGCAGCCTTCCTCCATGCCGTACTCATCCACCAGGATGCTGCCCAGATACAGGAAGCAGGAGTGGGGATACACCTGGTACACACTGACCATCTGAAATAACACACATTTAACATCTTTACACCTGATACACACTGACCATCTGAAACACATCTTTACACCTGGTACACACTAACCAGGGCTTGACATGAACTTCTGGGACTGAATTTTTACCTGTCCGAAAGCTCAAGTCACTTGTCTGTCCCCACCCCCCCCCACAAAAAAATAAAAAAGATCTAACACCATGGGCCAAAAAGGTGACTGAAAATTGTTGTGTATGATGCAAGGAACCACTTCACAAAATAACATTAATTATCATCACTGGTATTGACAATGGAAGGCTGCTGGTCTCTGATCCCATGTATTATATCTCCTGCCGTTGTGGCCTTGAGCAAGGCACTTAACCCCCCCACCCAAAGTAAAATACTGCACTGATAGGCTACTGTATAAAACACATGTGGTCTGTCAATCCTCCATCTGGAGAACTACTGGGTGTGCAGGCTTTTTAGCCAACCCTGCTCACACACCAGTCAGCTTATAAGGTCCTGTTGAGAAATGTGGTATGTTCGAGCAGGGCTGGAGCAAAAGCCTGCACACCCAGTAGCTCTCCTGGACAAGCGTTGGCCACCCTGCAACATTACAATTACAACCAAATACTTTGTCTTTATAAAATAATTCCCTCATTCAGTGAACCAGGGATTAAATGGTTATGGTGGGCGAGGTAGCCAACTAAGAAGTTTATCTATTTGTAATGTTAAAATATTCAGTGTTCAGGGGAGATCTTGACAGCATAGGAGTTACTTGTCAATTAGGCTATGCTAAGAATATTTGTTATCTTTGTCAGAATTACATGGCCAGTATTGAATAGAGGAGAATCCTAGCCAATTTTGATCGCTTAAGAGACGGTTTTACAACCGGAGTATGCAGCATTGGTTTCATCAACTCCGCACCCATATCAAATGCGTGTTGGCCATTTGCGGTTATACATGAGCGCCGGTGGAAAGTTATTTTAGGACGTCGGACATTACATTTAATTCATGCTAATAGTTAAATAGCTAACTAGAGAGATTCAAATTCTAAACATAGTGTAGTTTGGCTGGTTATCAAGTTAGTCTTTTGCATATCATTATTGTTACCTGCTGCACAAATCTCTCTCTCTCCCTCCCTCCTCTGGCAACAGCCCACTGGCACACACACACGTGATGCACACCATGACTTTTCCAGGATTCTTATTGCTGACCAAAAAATTGCTATAACCGGGCAAATAACTCACTAGCAATTATTATCAACAAATGTGCAAACGCGGGCTCGCTTTGATCTCAAAAACGCATCTCGCGACTGCATGATTGAAAGACCGCTTTGCCTGTCAATGCAGGCCTACAATAATTATACTGTACTCCGATGCGCTCTGCAGAGATTGGGAGGACAGTGAGCAAAACATTGCATCCGGAGGAAACTGATCCAACTATGATTGGAGTAACCTTATTGTTTGATATTGTGATTTTTGCGTGATTTTTTTTTACTTGTCCATTCGGACAACTTCAATCTGTTATCTGCTTGTCCAACAATACTTTTTTTTTTTTTTACTTGCCCTGGGCATTAATGTCGAGTTCTGCTGACCATCTGAAACAATACACCCATTCTGTTAAAGACCTGTACTACGGTTGCAAAATTCCAGTAACTTTCCACAAATTCCCAATAATCTAGATTCTGGAGGGAATAATCAGGAAACCAGAGAATCCTTCAACCCATGAGTTAAGAAAAGTTTCTGGAATTTTGCAATCCTATACTGTACACATTCAGCCTAACTTTGCCATCAGTCACCAGCTGCCATGGGCTCAACAAGCACCTGGTGGCGATGGAATTTGTATACACAAATAACAGACTCCAACCTAAATGTATCCATCTGTATATGGGGCGTATCATGACCCAAACACAGGGACACGCACCTGTGTGACGAGTGGCTGTAGTAGCGAGGCAGAGCCCTTGCCCACGCAGCGCACAGCGAACCGCAGGCAGCGACAGCAGCGCTCCACGATGCGGTTATCAGCCTGGTGTGTGTTTAGAGTCTCTGATAGGACCGGCCAGATCTACAGAGAACCAAGAAAACACCCAATATAGGTTTAGCATGAGAAGCTGTGGGAATGACTGTACGCAATCAAGGCCTTAAATTGAAGTTCAAATCTGCAACGGAGAAGAATCAGGGTAGTTGAGCACCAAAATAGTCTCACTTGAGTCCCATTCAAACTCAGTCCAATTAATGGGTTGAACAAAGCAGGTTGTATGCAATGGTAGCCTTGTCCAAATACAAAAAATAGCAAAACAATCTGGACTGCCAGTTGCTTTACCTCCTGGATGACTTTCTGACATGGGTGTGTTTGTCCATTTTCTACAATGGGATTTGTGTGTCTGGGGGGAAAAAAACATTACGATTAAAATGTCTGCTTAAAATAAACAATCATCAGCCCAAATCATCATATCAGTATAGTTACATGAGACAGTTCATGACCTGTGCAATCAGGATATGTATATACAGTATAACGTATTATAAATGGGTTGAGTGTACCGGAAGATGACTGCTAGTCTGTCCAGCCAGACAGTGGGGTCAGCAGCTTTCCCATTGCTGGGGTCCTGAGAGAGAAGCTGAAGATAGCAGACAAACATAAGCAAACTTGTTGGTATCACACAAATACCCAATCCACAAAACTGTTACACTATTGTAGTGGGTTACACACTTCTACCCAAAGTATCTCATACTCACACAACCTACCACCAAACTTGCACACAAACAAATGGCAGAATAAAACACACCTTTTTGAGGGCCATGACCTGCACAGCACACAGGTCACTCAAACACTCAGCGATCTTCTCCAGGGGCAGACGAGCCAGGACCAGGGCTGTACCTGCAGGGCAAAACAACCAGCGTTACCATGGTGACAGAGCAACACCACTCTGTTTAATACAAATCAACCTCATTAGGCAATCAAATAAAAAGACAAAGAACTGAACATCGACCCACAGTCCAGAGAGAACAAGTTGCTGAAAGAAAAGGACCAGCAAGTGAGACAGACAATAAGACAAGAGATTGAAAGTGAGAGATGGAATAGAGAAGGAGTAGAGCAGAGAAAGAAAACCAGACCAAAAAAGTGTAAAGTATGTATGCACACATGACTGTAAGTCGCTTTGGATAAAAGCATCTGCTAAATGGCATATTATTATTATTATTATTATAAAGAAGGGTGGCATAATTTAAATGCCTGGACTATATTCATTTTGGAGAATGGGTTAAATGTAAGTATAGTAACCCCAGGTGTATAATGGCCACTTCTCAGAAAGTATTAAATTGTCAAGAGGAGTAAAACAAGGTTGTCCACTGTCAGCATATCTATTTATTATGGCCATTGAAATGTTAGCTATTAAAATCAGATCCAACAATAATATCAAGGGGCTAGAAATCCAGGGATTAAAAACAAAGGTGTCATTGTACGCTGACGATTCATGTCTTCTTTTAAATCTGCAATTTGGATCCATGCACAGCCTCAGAGGATATAGATATTTTTTCTAACCTCTCTGGATTACAACCGAATTATGTGCACCATATTACGTCTTAAAATCACACAAAAAATACAACTTTTACATTACTGTGTAGTTTACCAATAAAATGGTTCGACGGTGAAGTGGAAATACTCTGTATTCATATCCAAAAAGAAAGAAATTCTCACTACAATACATTTTAATAGAAAGTTACCCAAATTAGATAAGATCTTGGTACCATGGAAAGGACAACTGTCTTTTGTGGAAAAATAACCCTGATTAATTATTTAGTCATATCCCAGTTCACCTATTTACTTATGGCCCCGCCTACACTCAACAACTTGTTTTTTAAAAACTATTCCACTTTATTTGGAAACGGGCCTATTTATATAATGAGTATGAATTCAGAGGGCAGAAATTACTAAAGCATTGGACCTCTCACTCAAGGCTTCAGTCATATACAAAAACTATACTTGTATCCGAACTGGTTCTCTAGCAGATCAGTAAGAATGGCTCACCCAGTGTTCAAGAACGGCATTTTGCTCTTCATTCAGATTACAACCTCTCACTTTTGGTTATTTTTAAAACAAGATATAGAAATCTGGTTGCAATTTCAGTTTAATCCACCAGAAAAGACAGAACAAATATTACAACAAATATTATCGTTAAACTCAAATATACTAATTGATTAAAAAAACGAAAAAAACATGCTGGTTAAGTGTGCCTTGAATTCTAAATAAATCAGTGTCACCAGCAAAGCACCCCCACACAATAACACCTCCTCCTCCTTCATGCTTTACGGTGGGAAATACACATGTGGAGATCATCCGTTCACCCACACCGCGTCTTATAAAGACACAGCAGTTGGAACCAAAAATCTCAAATTTGGACTCCAGACCAAAGGACAACTTTCCACCTGTCTAATGTCCATTGCTCGTGTTTCTTGGCCCAAGCAGGTCTCTTCTTCTTATTTGTGTCCTTTAGTAGTGGTTTCTTTGCAGTAATTCGACCAAGAAGGCCTGATTTACACAGTGCCCTCTGAACAGTTGATGTTGAGATGTGTCTGTTACTTGCACTCTGTGAAGCATTTATTTGGGCTGCAATTTCTGAGGCTGGTAACTCTAATGAACTTATCCTCTGCTGCAGAGGTAACTCTTGGTCTTCCATTCCTGTGGCGGTCCTCATGAGAACCAACATTTACCTGGAGCTAACTCTGCAAATAGCACTGCTGGGCAATTTGAAAAGTCATTGTCAATCGATCAATACGCTTAGCAAAGGTGTTTATCTTTAATTTACAATCTGTAGAAACTATAAGAATAGAAAGGTTCAGCACTTTTGTGAAACATCACAGCGGAAAAATATATGGCAGCTAGAAATCAAAACTGGATGGTCTTCAATAGATAGATGGGAGGGGTTGAGTGTAGCTGAAGGATGGGACTAAAAACAAAAGATAAGTAATGTAAAATATATTGTATCCGTAAAATGTATATAGTATGTATAAGCTGGAAGTAGAAGCCTAAGTATTGTTGTCCATTAGTTTACTCCAATTAGGGGTGGGGTTGTTGGGTTTGGGGAAAAAAATATAGATACACAAAAAAAATATGGGGGATTGAAAATAATGCAGACAATTACAATGATAGAAGCCACAATCTATCTGTAATATTAAAGCTGACCTACCCCATAAAAATACTTTACAATATAAGAAGGGTGGCATTAAGTTACCTTTGAGGAGGCCTACGGCGGCTTCGGTGGTCAGGGCGAAGGAGTCGAGGGCACGGGCGATGTCCAGCAGGCCCTGGAAGTGCTGGGCCATGTGATCCCGACACACAGAGCAGATGTTATGGATGGCCTTGGCCGCCACGGAAGCCAGGGTCTTCTCCCTCAGGCCCTTCATCAGGTAGTTCAGCACGGGGTCTGCGACAGAGCGGGGCTAAGGTCATACACACATCCAAAGTATACAGCCAACAGAGACACAGCGATGCAGAGACATAGGCACAGAGACACACATTCTTAACGCAGCAGGGACGTAACAAAACAGAGTGACACAGGCATTTGACACAGAAAGGAACAAGGAATGGAAAAATAACAAGGAAATAGAGATGTGCTCAAAACGAGGGGTATACACACTAACACACAGATTAAGATGAACCTCTAAATTGATTAACTCAATCACTCAGGTCCCGAGCTAAGCTATTGACCGTAACGTGACCACTGAACCTACCTAGGAACCGCGGGTTGCGGTCAACGACCTCGCTCATCTCCCCCACCAGCTCAATGCTGGTGTAGCGCACAGCGATATGGACCGTCTCTGGCAGCAGCACCACCTGCTCCAACACCTCTGTCAGGGTGGGGTTGTTCTCACTGGGAAAGCATTAACATGTTACACACAAACACCCCAGGGGAAGGACTTATACATTACACACAAGCACAAATTAAAGATTGAAACGTTACACACAAACACCCTGGGGGAAAGATATACAAATCTACAAGTAGTTGCACACATTCTACGTGGTGAGGAAGGGATTTAGTCATTGCACATTATTTCTCATTAATAGAATGAAGAGGACACTCACGGGTCTACACTCTTGGCGATGGCGGCCATGATGAAGAGAACAGCCTCAGTCACCTCCCAGGGAGGGTTCCCTTCTTTTAGAGTGGAGTACAACTGAGAGAGCGAGAGGGAGAAAGAGAAGGCAGTCGGTATAGTTTGTCATCTTAATGACATCATTTTAACTTGCGACGGTAGCTATCTTGTGAAGGTAGCTACCTGGGAGAAACATTCCATGGAGCCCACAAGGAAAATGACATCCTTCACAAGATCAGACACCCTCATCCTGAACTCCCCAAAGTCATCTGTATCTTCTGGGATGCCCTCCTGTAGATCAACACAAAATATCAGACCGTGAGTGAATGATATAATACTGCCAGAGCTAAATGATGTACTGAACTACTTGGTAAAATGTGCACATGGTTAAGGGATTCTACAATCAGATATGACATAAGAAGAGTATTGGGAGTATGGTTGGCATCATTGGAGTTGGTTAAGGACTCCTTGTCATGTGGTGGGTGGTCCATACGTGGTCGGGGTCTAGTTGGCAATGGCGGGCCAGGCCGTGCAGCAGTCTCTGGATGTAGGGTCTGAAGATGCCGTGGAGGGCAGGGTCGTTGGTCTTATACAGGTGTTCTCCCAGACGATACCAGAAGTTAAAGGAGATCTCCACAACCTGAGATGCACCAGAAGAGAACACACACACTTGAAATCCACCCAAAGCGACAGTGTGTGTGTTTGTCTGTGAGTGTCTATCATGTGTTGTGTACCTCATATTGGGGGTGTCCTGCACAGATGAGCAGTAGCTCAAGCGTCCGCAGGTCTCCCATGCCCTGGCCTGGACTCCTGACTGTGGTCTCCAGAAATGTTTCACACAACTCAGTGAAGATCCTACAGTAATTCAACACTCTGACAGAACAAGGGAGAAGGAGAGAGTTGGGGATAAAAGTTATTATTTTCTTCCACACAGAGGACAGTGTGGAGAAGAGTCAGAAGAGTTTAACATCATGAGCAATGGAGAGGAAGGATAGGTTTGGGGCAGGAAGGAGTGGGAGAAGGGGTGTGGTGATGCAGTGACTGGATAGGTGATCTTGGTGTATGTATGAGGAGGGGAGTAGGCATGTGTGTGTGTTCGTACTTGTCGAGGTCCTCCCGTGCCACAGCCATGTGGTAGGCTGTCTCCAGCGTGAGGACGCCCTGGAATAGCTGCAGGGCCAGGGGCATGTGTGTGTCCACGTTCTCGATGGCGTACAGCGCTGAACACACGCAGTCGGACGCAGCCTCGTGCAGGTTAGTGGACGTCTCGTCTCTCTGCTGCCAAACAAACAGAGACAAAAAAGAACACTACGTCAAAGAGATGTTCCGTGGCTGAAAACCATGCATTATGTATACAAGCGATTAGCATTCTAAACCGGCATAAATGATTGCCCTGCCCCCCTGTGGTTGTTGCACAAATAAGGGTTTGGAACAAATGCTGCTACAATATTGAGAGACTTTGGGAGTATTCTAAAAGTTGTTCATGTTTTTGGGAATGTTTGTCACTAGCACTGTTTATTTGTGCTTCCAAAATTCCATGAGAGCGTGAGAGAAAGACACAGAGACATACCAGCACTTGGAAAAGGACCATGAGGAGCTGGTTGTTGGCCATAAAGTTGCTGTCCAGGACTCCCAGGTTGAACCAGCTGCCCAGACAGCGGAACACCTTGATCAGCATCTTCTCATTGCTGCCAGACTTCTCCACACACGTCACCTGGAGACAGAGAGACAACACACACACGTGCCATCAACAACACAGACCCTTATCAAAACCACAATGCTGTGTCTGAAGCCAAACGCACGAGGAAGTTCACCCAACGAAACAACAGGAGTCACGACAGGTGTTATCAATATTGAGTCAAGGCAAATTGTTGATTGTAGGTTGAGGTAACCCTCAACACAAACAGTATAGTTTGTCTCTTTTCTGATGGTTTTGGGAGGACAACTCCTACATTCTTAAGCTTAATCCTCAAAAACATCTACAGTCAAACTTGGACATTCTGCAGAGAAAAATATACTACAAAGTGAGTGGTTCAGTTTGTCCCTCTAAGGTAGTGGTAGTAGTTGAATATATTTGTGATAATGAGGATGTACACCCCAGAGTTTTATAATGAGAGGATGAACCCATGGGAGGTCTGCTTATCCAGTAAGGGGGAGTGGTGGCGGGTGCTCTAGTTTAGACCAGCTTAATCAGGTGGGTAAAATAGGTTAGTCTGTGAGAGTGTTGGCGAGAGAAAGATGAATGGATAGTGTGTGTGTCGACCAGAGAGAGAGAACTCTCACCAGTAGAGTGACCACGGTACTGGAGTAATAGGCCAGGTCCTCGATAATCTCTGTCCTGCGATTGGCTCCGATGCGAAGGGAGCGGCTGTGGACCTCCTCGGGGAGCACTGTAAGGATCTCTATCAGAAACGTCATGGAGCTGACGTCATTGCTATACCTGAGAGAGAGAGAGTGGAGGAGAGAGATGGCAGCAGTCATTTATGAGAACATTAGCATGAAGGAGATGTTTTTGAAGCTTTAATGTCACCTCAAACATACCAACTCATCAACTATTTTCAATGGCATTCGACTTTATAGAACCACCTACAACGGTCTAATATCCTGTAACTATTGCATTCTGTTATCCACAGGTGTGATCCGAGATGGGTGGTTGAGTGGTAATGGGAGGGGCCTTACTTTTCAATGAGGGTGTGGACACAGCCCTTCCAGGAGGCCATCTGTAGGGCGAGGTCTGCAATGGCCAGAGCGAGCTGAGAGAGGGAGGAGAGAAATTAGACAAGAAACCAGGAAGAACTAGTAGGGATTAGAGTATCTTAATGCCACGTAATATTGTACTTGTTAAATTGTACCACAGCTACAACAACTACTCCTCTGTAGTGGTAGCGGTACATTGGGGTAAATGCTAGAGTTCTATTGCTACTGTGCATTGCTAAGCCTTTGGGACATTTAGATGGGCAGTGGGACATTCCTAGAGCACATTCTAGGAGCATAAAGGCTACAGACAGAGATCCAAGTCATCCTGGAGTTCTTGGAGTTTCAGTAGTCACTGTGACAGAGGGTGATACCAGATGGACAATAATTGGATGGGAGGGGCGTTACCCTAGGTTACATCAATGGGCGGGGAGGCCATTACCTGGGTGACGATGATGGGGGAGAGGTCTTTGAGGCTCTGTATGTGTGAGAGCAGGGAGTCTCGGAGGGCGATGTGGGTCTCTGGGGGGAGCTCAAAGAACGATGTCTGGATCTTCATCTTCATGGTCTGGGCGGCGAAGTAACAAGACTCCACGTCCTGTTTCAGCTGGAGAAGCTGGTCTGCCATCTCCCACGCGTACATCTGTGGGGAGGGGAGACGGGACAGGGGGAGAACAGTTAGCGCCACCATTAACTTTATTCAGAAAGGAAGGTTACCGAAACAAGGAAGTCAAACACAGGGATACTGGTAAATCCGCCAGTTTTACACACACATGCCTACACACGTAAATTGTCTGTAAAGGATACCCAGGAACAATCAACTGACCAAACAGGATGGAAAGGAGGCACATTGCTACTTGTAGGACTCATTCCTTTTTGTATACTATTTTTGTTAGTTATATGAATGAGGATAAGAAGGCATAGCCTTATGTTTTGTGCTTGTGGTTTGAAAACATAGTGGGAATTACCAGCTTGGGGGGGTGGGAGCGCAACCACCCTGAATGAGAGATGAGCCCCCCTAAATGCAGCAAAAGTCAAATTCTAAATAATACGAATTTAACCATTTTCCTTTTTTTTGTTCAAATGAATGTGTAACTGCTACAGTGGTAAATATGAAATTCAAAGCTTATTCCAAATTAAACAAAAAAAAACACCACGTGTCATTGTTTAAACCATTCCCCTGTAACCCTGAAAAAAAAGAAGGTATTTCAACTCGCCAAATTGAGCCCAGTTTCAAATGATCACTGAGAATAACTGTTCCAGACTTGAGATGCGCATCACTTCGCACTGGCAACTTTTTTCATTTGGAACAATATGTGGCTATATTTTATTCTGTTATATTACCCTTTTTTTTTAAACTATAAAATAGGTGTCGACTGTGATAAGTGCTCGGGAAATAAGTATCTTGTCTGCTAAATTAACAAAGCAAGGCTATGCCATTGCACAGCCATAGGCTTCTACAAGCAAGCGCCACTGCTGAGGTTACTGCCTTTTTGAAGATTGTGTTCTACAATATAATATAATCAGTTGATATTAAGGCTTCAATAACTTACCTTGCTTTTAAATGGACTGAATATATATGGGGCAATTTAGCAATTAGGATTGGTTATCTGTAATGGTTATGATAAATTAGGCATTGTTGCGCACTGTTGGCATAGGCCTACAGAAAAATTTGAACATATTTTTTTAGTGTATTTTTTAAATATATTTTTCCCATTGGAGATCTATGGGAAAAAATAAAGTGAGTACTCGAACAGTCAAAAAAAAAGTCAAATGCCCATCCCTGGTAAATGGATCACTATGCTTACATTCTCACGTCTGCGTCCCAACCTACTCAAATGATTTCAAAACCACCCTATACACGCAAAGACCAAAGGGAGTAGGCCTATTTACAAATAGAGTAGGCCAAATCTGATATCCTTCCTATGCAACACCATCAGGTGTCTGTAGCTAGCTGCCTTGATAGAGGGCTTGTTTCCTTAACCAACAGTTGGTCAGCTGTTAGATATGCTGGAGTATGGTATAAGGACTGTAAAGTAAAACCTGATAAAGTGTGTATGAGAATTTATATTGCAAAGTGAAACAGCCAAGCCCCTTCCCCATTTGTCCATCAGTGTCCAGTATGTCCTGGCAGTCTGGATGAAAAAGCTGCTGACAGCACAGAGCACACACAGTGTTCATCACTCAGATGGCTCCTTATCTCCCAAATTAGACCATTCAGATCCCCAAGTGCCAGCAAACTTAGGAAGTTGCTGGTGTCACAGTCTAACGTGTTTTAAAACGTGTTATGCGACATTGCATTTTTTCTTAGGGAATCAATACATGGCTTTGTGGGGGCTTTATGTGGGAACTGCATGATAGTGGGGAGAAATAACCGTTTTGAATCCAGTTACCCTGAGGCTGTCTCTCAATGCAACCTGCGGGAAGGCCATCTATTATAGAAATTATCACAATAATAAGTTAAAGTTGGTAGGAATACGTAGCAGCAACATGTAGTCTGCTAAATGGCATATTATTATTATTATATTATATTTCAATCATTAAATGTCCGATGACAGACAATGATTGCATTTCCTGCAGGAGTTAAGGCAGTAGTAACCAATGAAAATGCGGAAACCAGACCGATGCAGCACCACCGGAGGAAAAAACAAACAAATGCGGAAATAAAACGGCTAACGTTAACCCTAACCAACAGCAAACAACTTTAAGTGGCACATACCATTTACACAACATTATCAACATAAATGGAAGTTGTTAGTGTAGCTAGCCAAGTTAACGTTCGTTAACTAACTCAAAGCAAAAGCATCCGTGGCAATATCGTTAGCTACCTAGCAAGACAACACGCCCCTCTACTAAGCAATTTAGCCATATGTGGCTAAAACGGCAAGTTTGCTAGCAAGTATTGGACGCTAGCTAGGTAGCCACCCTCGCCTCGCGCTCTTCCTGTGCTATGGCCGGCTAATGTTACTGTAATTAGCGCGAGTTACTAATTATGTAAAGATAACTACTGTAGTTGGCTAGGGACGGTTAACTACAGTAGCTAACTAAACAACTAGATAGCAATAAATTGTTGCTAACTAGTTATCTGCTATGTGTGGCTAACTAGCTAGCATTTTCAAACACCATGGATTGTTTATGACTACACGCGAGAGAAAGCTAGCGAATGTTTGCCTTCATTATCTTCGTTCCACCTAGAAATCCACATAGATTTATCCCCGTTTCCACTTGACAGTTACTAGCAGGCTAGTAGAAAAAAGGAACGGTGTTGCTAATGCTAACTAGTTAGTTACCTTAGTCAATCTAGTTTGGTAGATAGCTAACTAGCTAATGCTATGCTGCGTTTGTTGTTAGCTAGCTATGCTCATTCATTCGTTGTTGGTTTAACATACACAAATACATGTTTTTTTATCACCATGGTATTACGCATTCTGATGCAATGTTTTGTTTACGGCCTCACACGACCTGCCTAGCCATGTCTAGTTCTAGGCCCATTCCAAGTCCCCACCATCTCTCGAGTTCACTTACCGATCTCTGTAGCTCCCCCAGCCACACCGAGGCTCGCTCTTTACCGGCGGGGTCCGGATCATGATAAAGAGCCTGCACAGCTTGATACACAAGTGCGACTGTCGGTTTCTCCATAGCGCTATGCTACTTTGCGGGTTACAGTTTAGGGTAAATGCGAAGGCGCTATAAATTCCACAGTTTATGTTTAGACGGGGTAATATTTATTCGTTCCTTGTGCTCGCTGTTCCGACCGCCATCTCAATCGCACACAGGTTCCCCGTGTGTGTTGCCGACAAACGCCCCCGTCTAGAAATACAGATACAGGAACTAAAAGCTGTACTTCACATATTCGAGGGACACAATGGGCGGGTCTCTTTTACTGTTATTGTAAAACAAGCAGTAAAAACGAGAAACACCATATCAAGCAGGAAGCACCAGTGACTCGGTTAATAAAAAAGTGGTCAGATGACGCAGATGCTAAGCTACAGGACTGTTTTGCTAGCACAGACTGGAACATGTTCAGGGATTCTTCAGATAGCATTGAGGAGTACACCACATCAGTCACTGGCTTCATCAATAAGTGCATTGATGACGTCGTCCCCACAGTGACCATAGGTACATACCCCAACCAGAAGCCATGGATTACAGGCAACATCCACACTGAGCTAAAGGGTAGAGCTGCCGCTTTCAAGGAGCGGGACTCTAACCCGGACGCTTATAAGAAATCCCGCTATGCCCTCTGACGAACCATCAAACAGGCAAAGAGTCAATACAGGATTAAGATTGAATCGTACTACACCGGCTCTGACGCTCGTCGGATGTGGCAGGGCTTGAAAACTATTACAGACTACAAAGGGAAGCACAGCCGCAAGCTTCCCAGTGACACAAGCCTACCAGACGAGCAAAACCACTTCTATGCTCGCTTCGAGGCAAGCAACACTGAAGCATGCATGAGAGCACCAGCTGTTCCAGATGACTATGTGATCACGCTCTCCGTAGCCGATGTGAGTAAGACTTTTAAGCAGGTCAACATTCTCAAGGCCGCAGGGCCAGACGGATTACCAGGACGTGTACTCCGATCATGTGCTGACCAACTGGCAAGTGTCTTCACCGACATTTTCAACATGTCCCCTGACTGAGTCTGTAATACCAACATGTTTCAAGCAGACCACCATAGTCTCCGTGCCCAAGGACACTAAGATAACCTGTCTAAATGACTACCGACCCGTAGCACTGACGTCTGTAGCCATGAAGTGCTTTGAAAGGCTGGTCATGGCTCACATCAACACCATTATCCCAGAAACCCTAGACCCACTCCAATTTGCATACCGCCCCAACAGATCCACAGATGATGCAATCTCTATTGCACTCCACACTGCCCTTTCCCACCTGGACAAGAGGAACACCTACGTGAGAATGCTATTCATTGACTACAGCTCAGCGTTCAACACCATAGCGCCCTCAAAGCTCATCACTAAGCTAAGGATCCTGGGACAAAACACCTCCCTCTGCAACTGGATCCTGGACTTCCTGACGGGCCGCCCCCAGGTGGTAAGGGTAGGTAACAACACATTTAATTCAATTAATTTTGATTTAATTTAATTTAATTTATGGTTACAATGTATAACTATGTAACTAGGCGGTATGTACATGTTTTTGTAAGAGAATCCCAATATACACTGAAAGACCACTAGATGTAAGCAAAGTGCATGATTTACAACAGTTGTTCTCAAATGGGGGTACTAGTAACAAAGATAGATACCAGATAGTGGCTCATTACAGGTTTGCGTCTTCCGAGCAGTTGTCAATAGTTGCCCTGCAGGAGAGTAACCTGATGCAAAGGAGACATTGGACCCCAAGTTTTTCCTGGTCAGGTCACATGGTTAGAAAAACTCCTGCCACTATAGGCATGCTTCATGGGTGTAAGTACACTACATGACCAAAAGTATGTGGACACCTGCTTGTCGAACATCTCATTCCAAAATCATGGGCATTAATATGGAGATGGTCCTCCCTTTGCTGCTATATCAGCCTCCACTCTTTCCACTAGGTGTTGGAACATTGCTGCGGGGACTTGCTTCCATTCAGCCACAAGAGCATTAGTGAGGTAGTGCACTGATGTTGGGTGATTAAGCCTGGCTCGCACTCAGCGTTCCAATTCATCCCAAAGGTGTTTGTTGGGGTTGAGGTCAGGGCTCTGTGCAGGCCAGTCAAGTTCTCGACAAACCATTTCTGTACGGACCTCGCTTTGTGCATGGGGGAATTGTCATGCTGAAACAGGAAAGGGCCTTCCCCAAACTGTTGCCACAAAGTTGGAAGCACAGAATCGTCTAAAATGTAATAGTATGCTGTAGCGTTAAGATTTCCCTTCACTGGAACTAAGGAGCCTGAACCATGAAAAACAGCCCCAGACCATTATTCCTCCTCCACCAAACTTTACAGTTGGCACTATGCATTCGGGCAGGTAGTGTTCTCCTGGCATCAGCCAAACCCAGATTCGTCTGTCGGACTGCCAGATGGTGAAGCGTGATTCATCACTCCAGAGAATGCGTTTCCACTGCTCCAGAGTCCAATGGCGGCGAGCTTTACACCACTCCAGCCGACGCTTGGCATTGCGCATGGTGATCTACCAATTCGCAGCTGAGCCGTTGTTGCTCCTAGACGTTTCCACTTCACAATAACAGCACTTACAGTTGACATGGGCCGGTCTAGCAGGGCAGAAATTTGACAAACTGACTTGTTGGAAATGTGGCATCCTATGACGGTGCCACGTTGAAAGTCGCTGAGCTCTTCAGTAAGGCCATTCTACTGACAATGTTTGTCTATGGAGATTATACACCTGTCAGCAATGGGTGTGGCTGAAATAGCTGAATCCACTAATTTGAAGGGGTGTCCACATACTTGTGAATATATAGTGTATCTCAAGTTTGTTAATTGTTACTTGCTTTATAAGGAGTGTTGTTTTACATTTACTATGGGTGTTTAGAAGCCTGTGTGTGAAAGCTTTGATTAAAGCATCACTATATTTTAAAAGATCAACTCTTAGATGCACTTGATTTAGTTTACCTGGCGCACCAAGAGGATGTGGTTTGCCCCTTTAGGATCATTATGCTGTTACTTCACAAGATTTCATTTATTTCATAAAGCCCTTTTTAAATCAGCAGTTGTCAAAAAGTGCTTTACAGATACCCAGGCTAAAACCCCAAAGAGCGAGCAATGCAGAGGCAGAAGCACAGTGGCTAGGAAAAACTGGGTGGCCAGTCCTCTTCTGGCTGTACCGGGTAGATCCCACTGGTGTCACCAACCCCCACAACTGCTAATCTAAGGGTTTTCAAATGGATGCGTTTCTATTGACCATGATCTCACAAGGGCAGAGTGGACAGAAGTACAAGGGTCGTTCCATTCAGTTTATTTTGTGGATCACTTTTTGGAGAATACTTTTGTCACAAAACACAAAATACAAAAGTAAAGAGTGTCATTTTAAGCAATTTTACAGCTGTTAAAACAATTACATTTTGGCTGCTATTACATTCTTCTCTTGGCAAAATGGAAAGGAAAAGTAAAAGGGAAGAAAATACACGCCAAATACTCAGTTATAGAGAGCCATTGGTGTTAGCATCCTCTGTTTGAAGGCAGCAGCAGACCACCGCCAAACCCAGGTCGTATCATACCCATACGTCTAAACCATACAGCTTGGTTATGATACAACCCTGAGTCTGGGGATGATATCTATCTTGCACCCGTTCTCTCACTTGCTCTCCATCTTTTCTTCACCATGTATCTTGAAGGGTAGTGGTCCTTCATCTTCACCTAGTTTGAGGAAAACATCTTTCAAGATAAGGGTCATCACAATGCATGCACTTCGGTTTGCTGTACAGTACAAACACAGTTTTTTTTGTCATTAGTGTCAAACTATATAAAATCATTTTTAATGCTAAAAGTTACATACATTTTTCCAAAGATCCAATCTCGGTCAAATAAGCGTTGTCGACTGAGATTTATCCTTAAAGCTAAAATCTTAAACTGATCAATATACCTCAAATTAAATGACCTACCCAAACGCTAAGGTGAAATATAGTTAAACAAGCCTACTCACCCATACAAAAATACTGGAAATTAAAAAAGCATACCTTTATTGCTGCTGGTAAATTGGGAGAAGCTCTGGTTTTCAAGCAAAAACTAGATCAAAACTAGATCAAACTAGCTGGTCCCTACTGCCTTAAACTTAACTAGAGTAGCACTGATCTGAAAAGACATGAGAGACAGAGGAGGACAGAGGAGGAGGATGGAAGAGGAAAAGGTTCCTTGGAAAGGTTCCAAGGAAAAGAGGATAGGCTGACTGTGTGCAGGTGTATAAAAAGGAGGACGGGGGGCGCGGTGAGGAGTAGGGAGATTTACCAGTAAACCGACCCTTGATCCTTCCTCAAATTAGTCATTTGACCCCACAATCTGTGGCTAAAGGGATGATCCTGTAGTTTGATCCTAATCCCATGTTACATCCCTGCAGTTTGCAGAGATTCTAAGGATTTGCCAGGTACATCTCAGGTAAATCTTGTTTCCAGATTAAGGCTCATCCCTGTATTGTGGCATTTTAAGACCACAATGTCAAGCGATACATGGCAGGCACCAGGCAGCAGGTTGATGGAAGAAAGGGTTCACATGTGATGAAGCTCAGGGAAAGGGCAACTGACAACAAAACTAAGCATCTTATGTAGCTAACATTAGCTCTACCTGTTAGTCATGACCATGTATGAGTTAAAAAAATAAGTCCAACTACTATAGAATAAAGTTGATCAAGGAAATCAATAAGATGGGGAACACTTTTCCATGTTTACATAGTGGGGTGGTGTCATGAGAGTATGTTTGCCTATTGGTGTGTCTGCATGAGTTATTGCAAAAAGACAGTAACTGAAAAAAGTAGCTGAGACACTTCGCAGATCCAAGGTCTGCGGCTGCCATCCCTGACAATATATGCTATGATATCGTGAAGAGGAAAAATATACAAAACGTTCTGGTGGAAGATCTCCCGAGTGGCGCAGTGGTCCAAGGCACTGCATCGCAGTGCTAGCTGTGCCACTAGAGATCCTGGTTCGAATCCAGGCTCTGTCGTAGCCGGCCGCGACCGGGAGACCCATGGGGCAGTGCACAATTGGCCCGGGGTAGGGGAGGGAATGGCCGGCAGGGATGTAGCTCAGTTGGTAGAGCATGGCGTTTGCAACGCCAGGGTTGTGGGTTTGATTCCCACGGGGGGCCAGTATGAAAAAAATAAAAAATATGTATGCACTCACTAACTGTAAGTTGCTCTGTATAAGAGTGTCTGCTAAATGACTAAAATGTGAATGTTCTGAATATCCATGTCCTGTTCAGAGAAGAATCATGGTAGTGAAAATATATTATTTGTTAGTGAGGTATGTTGATCAGAATTCACCTGATTTCAACTCTCAGAAACCTACTAGACATCCTTTCCAGTGAAGGAGGGAGGAATGGACTAGGGGGGTGGGGTGTATAGGGGACTTATTGGCTTGCTGCCGGATAGTCGTAAGCTTTCTGTTTTCACCCGATCAAGGTTTATCTCTAACTCTAAACCGTAATCTCTGTCCCTCGTCAAAGGTCATCAATTCAGATAGTGTAATCCAAGGAGCAGTTTAAGGGTTACATGCCTTGCTCAAGGGCCAGATTCTTCTGTACGAATTGGGGATTCAAACTGGAAACCCTCAGGTTTCTGTTCCACCACTCTAACCTACTGCTGTTTGTTATATGGCCCTCCTTTTTTGTTCCATGCAAGCTACATCTTGATGCCAATTGGTACATTTAGACCTGAATGTGACTTTTAAATGTAAGATTGAAAAATCAATTGACATTTAAACAGTCTTTCACACTGTGCTCAGTGTGCAAGAGCTTCCCTGTAGAAAGGTAGACAATGAGATCAAGGCTCTCTAGGTTTGCTTAGAATCTGTAATGAATGAGTAAATGTGTTGATGGATTAACACTTAACATAATTCATTTTTAAAGTGGAGTTTCCAAACATTGTGGAGGTAAGTGCCACTGCCCAGTCAGCTTGTTCTTTCTACCCCGTTCGCCACATCCCTTTCCCGCTCCCCCTGGGTTATGTTCGAAGGAAGGTTAATGTCCCTCAAAGATTAGTCCCTCAGAGATTAATGGGAACTGGAAACGGCAGTTACCACCTCATAAGAGCTGCCGACACAGCCTAGCTTGAATCAGTGATATACGTTACAAACTCCAAAAGTATGGCGATGTTTTCCATCCTAGCACTGTCCGCACCAACAAAAACAGCATGTCTCTACTACAAATTAAATTATTCAATTCTTTCTCACTGGCTCCTTTAAAATGGATTACTGCGCCCAACAAAGTAAGGTCTCTTCTGGCAGAAGGTCACTGTCACGGGGGCAACTTAATCCTAAAGTTTATTCTTCCACCAACAAGATCAGGAAGATCCGCAGGAGAAGCTTGTTCCTGGCATCACTTATAAGAGGTTTATATGTGGTTTATGGACATATAAAAGGGAGACTTCCAGCATCTCAGGGCACATCTCAGGAACGTACGGGTGGTGGTCAGATGCAGAGAGGAGCCAAGATGGCAAAGGACTTCTATCTGTATGAGAACATCTCTAAAATCAGCCCATTCGAGGGGCCACAGTATCACCTGGCCCCAGCATGGGCTTTCTACCTACAGACCGCTTTCATGGGCTTTGTGTTCTTTGCAGGAACACCCCTAAACTTTGTCATTCTCCTGGTGACAGTGAAGTACAAGAAGCTGAGACAACCGCTGAACTACATCCTGGTCAACGTCTCGTTAGCAGGTTTCATCTTTGTGACGTTCTCTGTGAGTCAGGTGTTCATCGCTAGTACGAGAGGATACTTCTTCATGGGTCACACCTTGTGTGCAATGGAATCTTGCATGGGTTCAATAGCAGGTAAATTCAAACATCATCATAGGAACAAAAAAAGCAACAACAACTTTAGTGATTCATTTTACCCTTCTGATTATATGCATGCAAACTATTTGCAAAGTTCTTGTGTTCGATGTCTTTGATGTCTCCTAACATGTTGATGTCTCCTTCCCTCTTCCTCAGGGTTGGTGTCAGCTTGGTCCCTGGCTGTCCTTGCCTTTGAAAGATACGTGGTCATCTGCAAACCCTTCGGCACCTTCAAATTTGACAACAACCAGGCTCTGGCAGCTGTTGCCTTCACCTGGGTCATGGGGATCGGATGTGCCACCCCACCATTCTTCGGCTGGAGCAGGTACTGATCCCCAGCCTCTCACACCCACTTTGATCTTGTACTGTATTATATACTGAACAAAAATATAAACGCAACATGCAACAATTTCAAAGATTTTACTAATCTATGGATTTCACGACTGTGGATAAAGATATGCATCTATTGGTCACAAATACCTTTTTTAAAAAGGTAGGGGTGTGGATCAGAAAACCAGTCAGTATCTGGTGTGACACCTCATGCAGCGCAACATATCTCCTCCGCATAGAGTTGATCAGGCTGTTGATTGTGGCCTGTGCAATGTTGTCCCACTCCTCTTCAATGGCTGTGTGAAGTTGCTGGATATTGGCAGGAACTGGAACACGCTATTGTACACGTTGATCCAGAGCATCCCAAACAGGCTCAATGGGTGACATGTCTGGTGAGCATGCAAGCCATGGAAGAACTGGGACATTTTCAGCTTCCAGGAATTGTGTACAGATCCTTGCGACATGAGGCCGTGCATTATCATGCTGAAACATGAGGTGATGGCGGTGGATGAATGGCACGACAATGGGCCTCAGGATCTCGTCACAGTATCTCTGTGCATTCAAATTGCCATTGATAAAATGCTATTGAGTTCATTGTCTGTAGCTTATGCCTGCCCATACCCTAACCCCACCACCACCTTGGGGCACTCTGTTCACAATGTTGACATCAGCAAACCACTCGCCCACACGACTCCATAAACGTGGTCTGCGGTTGTGAGGCCGGTTGGGCGTACTGCCAAATGATCTAAAACTACATTGGAGGCGGCTTATGGTAGAGCAATGAACATTAAATTATCTTGCAACAGCTCTGGTGGACATTCCTGCAGTCAGCATGCCAATTGCACGCTCCCTCAAAACTTGAGACATCTGTGGCAGATGTTGTGTGACAAAACTGCACATTTTAGAGTGGCCTTTTACTGTCCCCAGCACAAGGTGCACCTGTGTAATGATCATGATGTTTAATCAGCTTCTTGATATGCCACACCTGTTAGGTGGATGGATTAGGCCCCGTGTAGCTCAGTTGGTAGAGCATGGTGCTTGCAACGCCAGGGTTGTGGGTTCGATTCCCACGGGGGGCCAGTATGAAAAATGTACGCTCTGGATAAGAGTGTCTGCTAAATGACTAAAATATTAATAATCTTGATAAAGGAGAAATGCTCACTAACAGGGATGTAAACAAATTTGTTCACAACATTTTAGAGAAATAAGCCTTTTGTGCACATGGAACATTTCTGGGATCTTTTATTTCATCTCATGAAACATTGGACCAACACTTTACATGTTGCGTTTATATTTTTGTTCAGTGTAGTTTGGATGAATAAATACTATTTGTATTTGGCTACTATTAGGCTATTTGGTTCACATTGGGGAAAATGGTAAATATCCTAAAATGGTTTCAAATTCAAAGTTTTGCCGTACACGTGCAAGGTTCTGAGTTTGCAATTAATGTCACTAATTGGCTTCAAAGTCTGCATCGCTCGCTGCTTTCCAAGTCTAGATAAGTCGCTGATTGATACAGGCAAGGATGAAAACCTGCAGACAGACACTGTGTGGGGCTTTAGTTACTGTAACTTGGGTTTATTTTACAGGTATATCCCTGAGGGTCTGGGCTGCTCCTGTGGACCTGACTGGTACACAAACAACGAGGAGTTCCACTGTGCCAGCTACACCAACTTCCTCATGGTGACCTGTTTCATCTTGCCCATGATCATCATCTTCTTTTCCTACTCCCAGCTACTGGGAGCACTACGGGCTGTGAGTACAATGCATTCTGGGTTTAAAAAACGTACAAAAACAAAACAAAGTACAGAATAGTCATGATTTGGAACCCAGACGTGACCAGCTTGTCCTGTGTGTGTTTCTGTGTGTGTGTATGTGTAGGTGGCAGCTGCGCAGGCTGAGTCAGTTTCCACCCAGAAGGCAGAGAAGGAAGTATCCAGGATGGTGATTGTGATGGTGTGCTCCTTCATTCTGTGTTACGGCCCCTACGCCCTGGCAGCCTTGTACTTTGCCTATTCAACAGAGGAGAACAAAGACTACCGCCTGGTCACCATCCCTGCTTTCTTCTCTAAAAGCTCCTGTGTATACAACCCTCTCATTTACGCCTTCATGAACAAACAGGTGAGTCTATAACCCCCAAATGCATAGATATACACCGACATAGTGGCAGACACACACTCAGTCATTGACAAACACTCAGAAATGAAGCACATCAGAGGTGAGTCAGAACAGAACACACAACCTTATCATGTTCATTCTCTGTCATATAAATCTACTTCCCTCTCCTCAGTTCAACGCCTGCATCATGGAGACCGTGTTTGGAAAGCAGATTGAGGAGACTTCAGTTTCAGCCTCCAAGACTGAGGTCTCCACAGCATAAGCTGTGACGCTGGTCTCAGTCCATCAGGAGCCCATCCCCAACAGCCAAGACCTGACTGCCCCTTACCTCCACTGCTTCATACCAGGAAGGTCCTACTGTCAGAGAACTTCTCCAAACTCCATAGTATTATTCTTATCATAATCAGTGTGCGATTTGTATAGGGTTTGCGGTGGTATTGTTGGCCATTTTATTTTTTAATTCAAATGGGAACACCCCTTAGGACACCATAATAGCCAAAAAGAAGGGGGTTATTTTCTCCTCTCTCCTCTCCCCCACAAATCGCACCCTGTTTAAGAAAGTTATGAATCATGTACATTTCATTCTGAATATTGACCGAACCTGTCTGATGATGGCTTATATTAGCTTACCAAAGCTGCAGTCCAAAAATAGCAATGCATGAAAAAAATGAAGAAAAAACATTAGTTTAGCACTTTTATTTTTGTATCTCTGGTATGGGGGGGGGGGTCTTGGGGTGGATTCAATAAACCATCTAAGGTTCCCTAACACTTTTTTGAAATTGTGAGTTCAGGGCAAATAGGGTTTATTGAATCTACTCCTTGATCATGTTGATTTATTGTAACATATCTAAGGTAAATAAAGATTTATATTGTATTACGATGCACTTTTAAAATACAGTGGTGGACAGTGTTTTATTTCAACCACACTCACTATTTACTGGATATCTTAACAAAATCATTAACACAAACACAACTACACATACAAACTCTCAAAAGAAGATGTGCACTGAGGCTCAAACTTCAACAAATAAGTTTACTCAATTCGTTTTTTTATTGAGAAATGGGCTGTGGAATCGAAAGTACAGCATTTAATCCAAAATATGAATGTCCATACATTCTGTGCATAAATCCATAAAATAAACACTTGCCGAGTATGTAAATACTTCAATATAATCTTAATTTAATTTCGAGCAAGGATAATTCAGTAACAACGCTGCAATGGACCAACCTTTCAGTTCAGCATGCCCCACAGGAAGGAAGTACAACCGCTCTTATTTCTAACCAATAGAACAACAGATGCGTTCTCACACTTGTGCTTCTCAATAGTCCAAAATGGTTTCCTTTTCTTGTTTCGCATTGGTCATCTAACATATTTCTTTCACCTATCATTTGTTTCTAGATCAATGCAGATGAAGACAAGGAGATAAGGCAAGGAAGCCACTGTAGACTATTGAGAGGCAGTGATTGACAGAAGAGAAGGAGAGGAAGCCACTGTAGACTATTGAGAGGCAGTGATTGACAGGAGAGAAGGCTACAGAAGCAGTGATGAACTTAGTAACATTGTAATAACGGCCCTAGTCATGATAGACAAATACAGTACATCTGAAGAAGAGGGGGTCAAACAGAGTGTTTATGGAGAAACAGAGCAGGGTGAGGGATGATTTCACTGTAGTGGACTCATGTTCCCATGACCCTCTGATCCACTGATATTTAGTGTCAGCTTCATAGGTTGAGCTCCCAAAAGACTACTCTGAGAAGGCACACACTGGGTAAAAGGAAATGTATGAGGCTAACGTTGGGTAGCATCTCTCATCTACTAACTATACTAAGAAATTATGGGCTATCACTACAATCAGTGTCATTCAAAACATGACTGTAAAAAACACAAAATAATTACCACATATGAAGGGTTTGGTGGAAAAATGATAAATTATTACAACTCCAAAAGGAATATTCAGTGCTTGTGAGTATATCATCATATTTCAAACATAATGACCAATCTAAACTACCTATGTATGTAACAGAACAACAAAATGAAGTGTTGGGATGGGAAGTCAGTAACTATAAACACACACAACTATTGTGTGCTATCAACCACAAACTAATTGGAGACAATGTAGTGTATGAATAGGTTTCGTACAAAATAAATTCTATCATTTATCAAATCAAGTTTAAAACTGTTTTATCTAGCTAGGACTAAATAATCTAAAACTCATCATGCCGTACTAGCGCCTCGCCAAAGTCAGTTGCTTGACTTCCTACAAACAGGTCGTACTTGTTCAGGATTTCTTCCTTGCTGAGCTTTCCATCCTGAAATCAAAAACAAAAAGGCTATTTAGTCAATTGAATGCTTAAACAGACACAGACATTGTGAGGGAAAGAGAAAGGGGGAGAAAGATAGAATGAGAACCAATAGAGAGAGAGAGAGAGAGAGAGATTGTCTCACCTTGTTTGAGTCAGACTCGTAGACGAGGTGTTTGGCCTCGGCCTCTGCGTGGTCGTAGTCTGAAGGAAGGATCCAGTCCATAGTCTCCTCCCGATCCATCTTCCCGTCTTTGTTCTTGTCCCGGAACTCTGAGAACTGCTCACGCTCCGTCGCAACCCAGTCTGGCTCCTCCATCTCATCTTCATGGTTGTACATGTCACCTATGAAACAAAGGAGAGGGGGATGAAAGAGTGTCTGAGGAGGTAGAAACATAAATATTGTACATGTATTGAATGGGGACCTCAGAATAAAGTGACTATACACTGAGTATCCCAAACATTAGGAACACCTTCTGCAATGCTTCCCACAGTTGTGTCAAGTTGGCTGGATGTCCTTTGGGTGGTGGACCATTCTTGATACACACAGGAAACAGCGTGGCAGTTCTTGAAACAAACCGGTGCGCCTGGCACCTACTACTATACCCCATTCAAAAGGCACATCAATCTTTTGTCTTGCCCATTCACCCTCTGAATGGCACACATACACAATCCATGTCTTAATTGTCTCAAGGCTTAAAAATCTTTCTTTAACCTGTCTCCTCCCCTTCATCTACACTGATTGAACTGGATTTAACAAGTGACATCAATAAGGCCTAGTCACTTTACCCTGCCTTCATGTACATACCTACAGTGAGGGAAAAAAGTATTTGATCCCCTGCTGATTTTGTACGTTTGCCCACTGACAAAGACATGATCAGTCTATAATTTTAATGGTAAGTTTATTTGAACAGTGAGAGACAGAATAACAACAAAAAAATCCAGAAAAACGCATGTAAAAAATTTTATAAATTGATTTGCATTTTAATGAGGGAAATAAGTATTTGACCCCTCTGCAAAACATTACTTAGTGCTTGGTGGCAAAACCCTTGTTGGCAATAACAGAGGTCAGACGTTTCTTGTAGTTGGCCACCAGGTTTGCACACATGTCAGGAGGGATTTTGTTCCACTCCTCTTTGCAGATCTTCTCCAAGTTATTAAGGTTTTGAGGCTGACGTTTGGCAACTCGAACCTTCAGCTCCCTCCACAGATTTTCTATGGGATTAAGGTCTGGAGACTGGCTAGGCCACTCCAGGACCTTAATGTGCTTCTTCTTGAGCCACTCCTTTGTTGCCTTGGCCGTGTGTTTTGGGTGATTGTCATGCTGGAATACCCATCCATGACCCATTTTCAATGCCCTGGCTGAGGGAAGGAGGTTCTCACTCAAGATTTGACGGTACATGGCGCCGTCCATCGTCCCTTTGATGGGGTGAAGTTGTCCTGTCTCCTTTGCAGAAAAACACCCCCAAAGCATAATGTTTCCACCTCCATGTTTGACGGTGGGGATGGTGTTCTTGGGGTCATAGGCAGCATTCCTCCTCCTCCAAACACGAGTTGAGTTGATGCCAAAGAGCTCCATTTTGGTCTCATCTGACCACAGCACTTTCACCCAGTTCTCCTCTGAATCATTCAGATGTTCATTGGCAAACTTCAGACGGGCCTGTATATGTGCTTTCTTGAGCAGGGGGACCTTGCGGGTGCTGCAGGATTTCAGTCCTTCACGGCGTAGTGTGTTACCAATTGTTTTCTTGGTGACTATGGTCCCAGCTGCCTTGAGATCATTGACAATATCCTCCCGTGTAGTTCTGGGCTAATTCCTCACCGTTCTCATGATCATTGCAACTCCACGAGGTGAGATCTTGCATGGAGCCCCAGGCCGAGGGAGATTGACAGTTCTTTTGGGTTTCTTCCATTTGCGAATAATCGCACCAACTGTTGTCACCTTCTCACCAAGCTGCTTGGCGATGGTCTTGTAGCCCATTCCAGCCTTGTGTAGGTCTACAATTTTGTCCCTGATATCCTTGGAGACCTCTTTGGTCTTGGCCATGGTAGAGAGTTTGGAATCGGATTGATTGATTGCTTCTGTGGACAGGTGTCTTTTATACAGGTAACAAGCTGAGATTAGGAGCACTCCCTTTAAGAGTGTGCTCCTAATCTCAGCTCGTTACCTGTATAAAAGACACCTGGGAGCCAGAAATCTTTCTGATTGAGAGGGGGTCAAATACTTATTTCCCTCATTCAAATGCAAATCAATTTATAACATTTTTTACATGTGTTTTTCTGGATTTTGTTGTTGTTATTCTGTCTCTCACTGTTCAAATAAACCTACCATTAAAATTATAGACTGATCATTTCTTTATCAGTGGGCAAACGTACAAAATCAGCAGGGGATCAAATACTTTTTTCCCTCACTGTACCTCAAGTACCTTGTACCTCTGCACATTGATCTGATAGCTCCACTCTTGTGTATTTTATTTTATTCCTCGTGTTAGTTAATTTTTTTTTATTTATTATCATTTTTAAAACTTTGCATCGTTGGGAAAGGTTCGTAAGCAAGCATTTCACTGTAAAGTCTACACCAGTTGTATTCGGCGCATGTGACAAACACAATTTGATTTCATTTGATTTAAGAAATAATAGCTTTCACCTGGATTCACCTGGTCAGTCTATGTCACAGAAAGAGCAGGTGTTCATAATGTTTTGTATACTCAGAGTATGTCCACTTCAGTCCTTACCTATGTATTCACTCAGGTCAATGAAACCATCACCATTCTTATCAATGTCCTCCATGGTTTCCTGTGGGGTAAACAAGGAGAAAGAGGAGGATGGTTAGAGAGGTCCCGTGTTTCATTTTTTCCAAATACCTCTTAATCTAATGAACACAGAGAATGAAACACACATACTAGCACCACTATGTCCTTCATGTGGTCGTACTCCTCTGGGTGTAGGAAGGCGGTGAACTCCTCTTTGTTGGCGATCTGGTCTCTGTTCTGGTCGGCCATTTTGAAACGCCTCTCGTCCCTCGCCATCATGTGCTGGTAGTTGTAACCGTCATCTGGTTCCGAGTCATCTGTGGGGTCAAAGGGAAGCGGCTATGATCTCTAGTTAATCCCACATGATACACCCTGACCTGAATTGATACGGTAAATCAACCAATCAGTGAAACTAATACTAAAGGCCCTGCAACTTTCCAACCAATCATAACAAACACATTTATGTTTTGGACCAATTGCATTTCCCGGGCTCATGCATGCTCACGTCATGCCCTTCTTACCCAGATAGGTACCATAAGTTACGTTCCTGTATTCCTCCCAGGAGATCATGCCGTCATTGTTGACATCAAAGTCCTTCCATTGGCGGTCCACGTTCTCATAGACGTACTTCTTCTGAGCCTTCTTAATCCAAGCTTTCAGCTCCACCTCAGTGACAAAACCATCACTGTCACCATCAATCTTCTCTACAATCACACTGTCTCAGAAAGGGGAAGAGCGAGAGAGCGAGACTGTTAAAAAAAAAAAAATTAAGTTCAAAAGAGGTCAAACTATATTTACTATAATACCAATGTAATAACAGTCAACACCAATATCTAGTACAGTCTATGTGAAAGTGACAGCCTATTAGTTTAATCTGATGATGGGAAAGGGGGAATTCTACCTCCTCTCCATTTACTGGCAAACAAGTCTATAAGTTGATTAACTTTTACTGAAAAGAGGACATACTTCCTTGTATGAGTGACAGTTTGACATTGCAATGAGTACTTTTATATGTATATTACTCTGCCACGTTATCATACAGGTACAGTTGAAGTCGGAAGTTTACATACACCTTAGCCAAATACATTTAAACTCAGTTTTTCACAATTCCTGACATTTAATCCTAGTAAAAATTCCCTGTCTTAGGTCAGTTAGGATCACCACTTTATTTTAAGAATGTGAAATGTCAGAATAATAGTAGAGAGAATGATTTATTTCAGCTTTTATTTCTTTCATCACATTCCCAGTGGGTCAGAAGTTTACATACACTCAATTAGTATTTGGTAGCGTTGCCTTTAAATTGTTTAACTTGGGTCAAACGTTCCGGGTAGCCTTCCACAAGCTTCCCACAATAAATTGGGTGAATTTTGGCCCATTCCTCCTGACAGACCTGGTGTAACTGAGTCAGGATTGTAGGCCTCCTTGCTCGCACATGCCTTTTCAGTTCTGCCCACAAATTTCTATAGGATTGAGGTCAGGGCTTTGTGATGGCCACTCCAATACCTTGACTTTGTTGTCCTTAAGCCATTTTGCCACAACTTTGGAAGTATGCTTGGGGTCAAGCTATAACTTCCTGACTGATGTCTTGAGATGTTGCTTCAATATATCCACATAATTTTCCTTTCTCATGATGCCATCTATTTTATGAAGTGCACCAGTCCCTCCTGCAGCAAAGCACGATTTTTTTCCTCATTTTGTCTGTCATAGTTGACGTGTACCTATGATGAAAATTACAGGCCTCTCTCATCTTTTTAAGTGGGAGAACTTGCACAATTGGTGGCTGACTAAATACTTTTTTCCCCCACTGTATATGGCACATGGAAATCATAAGAGGGTGGTTTACGGAGATAGGTGGGATGGACTGAGAGTAGCTGAGGGGTGTTCTATAATAGTTATGACTGAACACGATGTATAATGTATAAGTACTATCTATCCAGATGTAATGTATATCAAATTACTTTATTCTTGCTATGTAACTACTGTGAGAAAAAAAGTGCCATGTATATAAAATGTGTGTAGAATGTACATGTAACAGCAAAAGGGCCCAAAAAAATACAAAATTAAAAAAACGTAAGAAATGCCAGGTTGGAGAGGATCTGTCACATTTTCGTATTGACACAACATTAACGGAGCCAAAATAAAGATAAATGCCTACCTTGTCCTTGTCTGTTGGCTTTTCTGCATATACTAATTCGACGCACAAAACCATTCTAACTAACTCCCACTTTTCCCAAAATATTTGCATAACGTCACAAACTCTGCTGCTGCGATCATTAGATGGCAGTGGCATTGACATATTTTCTTCAACGAGAGGATGCCGTAATGAGAGAAATAATGTAGCCTAAGCTACTGAAAAGAGGCCTTTTACTAGATTAAATCAAGACAGGAGCATTTGATTCTTATTAAAGAGATGGAGTCCAGACAGGTTACTTTAGGAAACTTTCATAATGGACATTTAGGCCTATAGAGAGAATCAGCGAGCTCACACATGCACACACCCATAAAAGCACCCATCAATCAAAACCACCAGCGTACTGTATGTCAGAAACAAGAGCAAATATTTATCCTTTCACTAAAACATAATAAAATACCTAGGCCTATCTTAGGCTTTCCTGAGAGTAGGCTATAAGATACACTACCGGTCAAATGTTTTAGAACACCTACTCAAGGGTTTTTCTTTATTTTTACTATTTTCTACACTCTTGGCATTCTCTCAACCAGCTTCACCTGAAATGCTTTTCCAACAGTCTTGAAGGAGTTCCCACATACGCTGAGCACTTATTGGCTGCTTTTCCTTCACTCTGCGGTCAGACTCATCCAAACTATCTCAATTGGGTTGAGGTCGGGGGATTGTGGAGGCCAGGTCATCTGATGCAACACTCCATCACTCTCCTTCTTGGTAAAATAGCCCTTACACAGCCTGGAGGTTTGTTGGGTTATTGTCCTGTTGAAAAACAAATGATAGTCCCACTAAGCGCAAACCAGATGGGATGGCGTATCGCTGCAGAATGCTGTGGTAGCCATGCTGGTTAAGTGTGCCTTGAATTCTAAATAAATCACAGACAGTGTCACCAGCAAAGCACCCCCACACTATCACACCTCCTCCTCCATGCTTCACGGTGGGAACCACACATGAGGAGATCATCCGTTCACCTACACTGCGTCTCACAAAGACATAGTGGTTGGAACCAAAAATCTCAAATTTGGACACATCAGACCAAAGGACAGATTTCCACCGGTCTAATGTCCATTGCTCGTGTTTCTTGGCCCAAGCAAGTCTCTTCTTCTTATTGGTGTCCTTTAGTAGTGGTTTCTTTGCAGCAATTTGACCATGAAGACCTGATTCATGCAGTCTCCTCTGAACAGTTGATGTTGAGATGTGTCTGTTACTTGAACTCTGTGAAGCATTTATTTGGGCTGCAATTTCTGTGGCTGGTAACTCTAATGAACTTATCATCTGCAGCAGAGGTAACTCTGGGTCTTCCATTCCTGTGGCGGTCCTCATGAGAGCCAGTTTCATCATAATGCTTGATGGTTTTTGCGACTGCACTTGAAGAAACTTTCAAAGTTCTTGAAATGTTCCGTATTGACTGACCTTCATGTCTTAAAGTAATGATGGACTGTCGTTTCTCTTTGCCTATTTGAGCTGTTCTTGCCATAATATGGACCTGGTCTTTTACCAAATAGGGCTATCTTCTGTATACCCCCCTACCTTGTCACAACACAACTGATTGGCTCAAATGCATTAAGAAGGAAATCAATTCCACACACATTAACTTTTAAGAAGGCACACCTGTTAATTAAAATGCATTCCATGTGACTACCTCATGAAGCTGGTTGAGAGAATGCCAAGAGTGTGCAAAGCTGTCATCAAGGCAAACGGTGGCTATTTGAAGAATCTCAAATATAAAATCTATTTTGATTTGTTTAACACTTTTTTGGTTACTACATGATTCCATATTTGGTATTTCATAGTTTTGATGTCTTCACTATTATTCTACAATGTAGAAAATAGTAAAAATGAGGAAAAACCCTTGAATGAGTAGGTGTTCTAAAACTTTTGACCGGTAGTGTAATTAATTGACAATGAAAGTATGAAGGGACAGCTATGCTATAGAATGAAGATGAAAACGACCATCATTAAAATAGAAACAAATACACGCAACATGTCCATAGCCTATTTATCAGCGACGTTGATTATCGAGGGGGAGAGTGTTATAAAGATTTTTCAAATACTGTGAGGAACTATTATAATGGACTTCGTTGACTTACTGTGTGAGGTGAAGAAAATATGACTTAGAAGCCCAGCTGGGCACTTCCCTACTTTTGACATTTGCGAGAAGCAGGCCAGGTACTTCTATGCGTGTTCAGGCGCACGCTCTCCGTCAACATTAATAGGTCAGAGAAACCAGACACATGCGCATTGCTCACATGGAGCGCAGAAATGATGGTATAGGCCTAGGCTACTATTCTACTTTGTTGGGATAGGAGGACGGCAATTTCTTTGGTCTCGTTTAGGGCAGCATATCGGCCAGAATCGGGCCTGATCAGCGTTGATTAGTCTATAACTTAAGAAAATATTCTGTATCAAATTATACCATGCCAGGTTGGAAAGGCTTGGCGAATTGTCTTTATTTACTAGCAAGCAATGAAAAGTCAACACATCAAACAATTTTTTTACTGACGTGCCATAGCCTATAGCACTCTACATCCCGCTCATCAAGCAATTAGCTGCTCAAGCATCAAAGGAAAGTTGTAAAGAGGAGAAGATGTAGAAAGTTTAATAGACAAACTAAGTTAACAAAACATTTGCTTATAATCATTAGTAAACACTCCCGCTATTAAGTAAGTTTTATCTACATGAAAATAATGTTAATTTAAAAAATGTAAATCCTAAAATGAATGTTTAAACGGTTTTGACTGTTTTATTTTCATGATGCTCTTCATCCATAATCGTCAGTTACACGGTCATTCAATTACCGTCACAGCCCTACCCTCAACTTGATACTATTGATACACAGCCTAGCCGAGGAAAGGTGGCCACATTGGACTATTGAGACGCAGCCGGACAGAGACTTGAGCCTACTCACCCTAGCCTGCGCTTGCTCTCCTCTGGGCTGAGGTCGTCAAAAGACTTGGCCTCCTTTTGTCCCAGGAAGGCATCGTGGTCGTAGTCGAAGCCCTGAGCATCGTCGTGCTCGCGGCTGCTGAGAGGTGCATCGTGGTGAATGCGTTCCTTTTTCTCGGTGGGTTTACTGGTGGCATAGACCACGCAGAGGGCAAAGCACATGAGCAACGGCCTGATTTCCATCCTATGAGAGACAGAGAGAGAGAGAGAGAGAGAAAGATTAAAGACACCTCCTCCAGTGTGTTAACATCAAAGCCTGTGAATAGCTCACAGGCAGCATCTGCATTTGCTGCTCATTAGGGCTGTTCCAAGTCTTACAGAATGTAAACATTTCTGACGGGCTCTTTGACATTAAATTGTTACAGGACTTGTTTCACATGTTCAACTGTTGGTTGTTTATTAAACTGCTGCTGCTGGCAGCATGTCAGCATAGACTTGTGATGGGACATTTAAAACGGAAGAAAATAGATAGTCCTGTAGACAGGATAGGACAGATGAGTCAGGCAGGAAAGCCAAATACATGTCTGCATGGCATTGCATTCATGATGTCATGATGTGGTATTTGTAACATTGAGATGTTTAAATAGTTAACAGTACTTGAACGCAGATAAGGGGAACGCAATAACAAAATTGCTCACTATAACGGTAAAGTGGAAAGAATGTAGCGTTTGGCTGTCTGAACACAAATAAAGGCACAGATTGTTAACTTACAATGTATCAACGTATACACCATTCACACACGGACTACAATGTTTATGTAAAATGTCACATTTCGCTACATTACCAAATGTGGAACAATAAAACAGAAATCAGTTGTTGACAGTAATGTAAAATATTTTGTCTTCAGTCTCTTCATCATAACAAGATCGCCTGCTAGCCGCTAGCTCTCTTGTCAGACTATTGGAATGCGCCTGAATGGCATATCCTACCATTTAGGGTTAGCTGATCATACAAAGTAACACAATCAACGCATCAATATTAGCTTGTAAGAGAAGTAATATCATTGTATTACCTACCTACCTGGCTGATGATTCCAGACACAATATGTACAGTATGTCTGTTTCACAAGCCAACAGCTTAATGAACACACCCAAGTATTGACCCTTTCCTTCTAAAAGGAGATCCAATGACATTACAGATATGAGCCTTCACGAGCTTTGATTGGTCCACTTCAGCAAAAAGGCACGTTTGGCCGATGACCTCATATTCCATAATAAAACGTTTATTCATCGCATTCACGTTTGATTGGCTTACACGAAAAGTTTGTAGCGTTTGAACCAATCGTGTTTTAGAGTATGTAATTACATTGGGTAAAATCTTCGCTGTGGTCCGTTTGCCCGAAACCGCATCCTGGGCACCTGATTGGCTACTAATTGCCACGTCTCCAAATTTGAGTAAATCTTTCTAGCGCTGTCATCATCCACTGAAGTTTACACGAACATGTTTTGCAGTTGCTGGTGGACATTGTATAAGATAGAAAAACATATAAAGTACAAAAAAGGTATTCTCTCCATACTGTGTTTCAGTCTATCTATCAGTCATCTGTCTTGAGTGGACCTGACAGCTTTAACTAGCTGGCTTCAGTGTCTTGGACAAGACCTAAATGTATGCAGCTGATCAAGTTTTACATTTATGGGGAGATGGGTATGGTAGAGGGTAAATAAATACATTAATTTACAGTATAATAAATCTTGTTTAACATTTGAGATTTAACTTTTGTGGGATTAGATTTCGCCCTAACATGAATTGTTATCCAGGCCCCTACTTTCTATTTTTTAAAGGTATCTGTACTGCCAGTCATGTGAAATCCATAGATTAGGGCCTAATGAATTAATTTCAATTGACTGATTTCCTTATATGAACTGTAACTCAGTAAAATCTTTGAAATTGTTGCATGTTGCATTTATATTTTTGTTCAGTATGGCCTGAAGATAGAAGCTGTTTATCAGTTTCTCGGTTCCAGCTTTGATGCCCCTGTACTGTCTCCATCTTCTGTTAGAGGGGGGAACAGGCTGCTCGCGATGGTGCATCTGTATAAGTTCATGAGGGTCTTAGGGGCCAAGCCAAATTTCTTCAGCCTCCTGAAGTTGAAGAGGTGCTGTTGCTGCGCATTCTTCACCAAGCTGTCGGTGTGAAGGGACCATTTCAGGTCCTCAGTGATGCAGAGGAACTTGAAGATTTTGACCATCTCCACTGCGGCTCCCTTCAATGTGGATGGGGGCGTGCTCTCTCTGCTGTTTCCTGTAGTCCATGATCAGCTCCTTCATTTTGTTGACATTGAGAAAGAGGTTATTTTCCTGGCCCCACCTGTTTTGAGCCCTTTGTTTGTACACACCTACTCATTCAAGGGTTTTTCTTTATTTTAATTTTTACTATTTTCTACATTGTAGAATAATAGTGAAGACATCACAACTATGAAATAAACATATGGAATCATGTAGTAATCAGAAAAGTGTTAAACAAATCAAAATATATGTTATATTTGAGATTCTTCAAGTAGCAACCCTTTGCCTTGATGACAGCTTTGCACACTCTTGGCATTCTCTCAACCAGCTTCATGAGGTAGTCACCTGGAATGCATTTCAATTAACAGGTGTGCCTTCTTAAAAGTTAATTTGTGGAATTGATTTCCTTCTTAATGTGTTTGAGCCAATCAGTTGTGTTGTGACAAGGTAGGGGTGGTATACAGAAGACAGCCCTATTTGGTAAAAGACCAAGTCCATATTATGGCAAGAACAGCTCAAATAAGCAAAGAGAAACAAATCAAATCAAATCAAATCAAATCAAATCAAATTTTATTGGTCACATGCGCCGAATACAACAGGTGCAGACATTACAGTGAAATGCTTACTTACAGCCCTTAACCAACAGTGCATTTATTTTAAACAAAAAAGTAAGAATAAAACAACAACAAAAAAGTGTTGAGAAAAAAAGAGCAGAAGTAAAAAATAAAGTGACAGTAGGGAGGCTATATATACAATAGAATAAAGTGACAGTAGGGAGGCTATATATACAGGGGGGTACCGTTGCATAGTCAATGTGCGGGGGCACCGGCTAGTTGAGGTAATATGTACATGTGGGTAGAGTTAAAGTGACTATGCATAAATACTTAACAGAGTAGCAGCAGCGTAAAAAGGATGGGGTGGGGGGGCAGTGCAAATAGTCCGGGTAGCCATGATTAGCTGTTCAGGAGTCTTATGGCTTGGGGGTAGAAGCTGTTGAGAAGTCTTTTGGACCTAGACTTGGCACTCCGGTACCGCTTGCCGTGCGGTAGCAGAGAGAACAGTCTATGACTAGGGTGACTGGAGTCTTTGACAATTTTGAGGGCCTTCCTCTGACACCGCCTGGTATAGAGGTCCTGGATGGCAGGGAGCTTTGCCCCCGTGATGTACTGGGCCGTACGCACTACCCTCTGTAGTGCCTTGCGGTCAGAGGCCAAGCAGTTGCCATACCAGGCGGTGATGCAACCAGTCAGGATGCTCTCGATGGTGCAGCTGTAGAATTTTTTGAGGATCTGAGGACCCATGCCAAATCTTTTTAGTCTCCTGAGGGGGAATAGGCTTTGTCGTGCCCTCTTCACGACTGTCTTGGTGTGTTTGGACCATGATAGTTCGTTGGTGATGTGGACACCAAGGAACTTGAAGCTCTCAACCTGTTCCACTACAGCCCCGTCGATGAGAATGGGGGCGTGCTCAGTCCTCTTTTTTTTCCTGTAGTCCACAATCATCTCCTTTGTCTTGGTCACGTTGAGGGAGAGGTTGTTGTCCTGGCACCACACGGCCAGATCTCTGACCTCCTCCCTATAGGCTGTCTCATCGTTGTCGGTGATCAGGCCTACCACTGTTGTGTCGTCGGCAAACTTAATGATGGTGTTGGAGTCGTGCCTGGCCATGCAGTCATGGGTGAACAGAGAGTACAGGAGGGGACTGAGCACGCACCCCTGAGGGGCCCCCGTGTTGAGGATCAGTGTGGCAGATGTGTTGTTACCTACCCTTACCACCTGGGGGCGGCCCGTCAGGAAGTCCAGGATCCAGTTGCAGAGGGAGGTGTTTAGTCCCAGGATCCTTAGCTTAGTGATGAGCTTTGAGGGCACTATGGTGTTGAATGCTGAGCTGTAGTCAATGAATAGCATTCTCACGTAGGTGTTCCTCTTGTCCAGGTGGGAAAGGGCAGTGTGGAGTGCGATAGAGATTGCATCATCTGTGGATCTGTTGGGGCGGTATGCAAATTGGAGTGGGTCTAGGGTTTCTGGGATTATGCTGTTGATGTGAGCCATGACCAGTCTTTCAAACAACAGTCTATCATTACTTTAAGACATGAAGGTCAGTCAATACAGAACATTTCAAGAACTTTTAAAGTTTCTTCAAGTGCAGTCGCAAAAACCATCAAGCGCTATGATGAAACTGGCTCTTATGAGTTACCTCTGCTGCAGAGGATAAGTTCATTAGAGTTACCAGCCTCAGAAATTGCAGCCCAAATAAATGCTTCACAGAGTTCAAGTAACAGACACATCTCAACATCAACTGTTCAGAGGAGACTGTGGGAATCAGGTCTTCATGGTCAAATTGCTGCAAAGAAACCACTACTAAAGGACACCAATAAGAAGAAGAGACTTGGTTGGGCCGAGAAACACAAGCAATGGACATTAGACCGGTGGAAATCTGTCCTTTGGTCTGATGTGTCCAAATTTGAGATTTTTGGTTCCAACCGCCGTGTCTTTGTGAGACACAGAGTAGGTGAACGGATGATCTCCTATGTGTGGTTCCCACCGTGAAGCATGGAGGAGGAGGTGTGATAGTGTGGGGGTGCTTTGCTGGTGACACTGTCTGTGATTTATTAAGAATTCATGGCACACTTAACCAGCATGGCTACCACATCATTCTGCAGCGATACGCCATCCCATCTGGTTTGCGCTTAGTGGGACTATCATTTGTTTTTCAACAGGACAATGACCCAACACACCTTCAGGCTGTGTAAGGGCTATTTTACCAAGAAGGAGAGTGATGGAGTGCTGCATCAGATGACCTGGCCTCCACAATCACTCGACCTCAACCCAATTGAGATGGTTTGGGATGAGTTGGACCGCAGAGTGAAGGAAAAGCAGCCAACAAGTGCTCAGCATATGTGTGAACTCCTTCAAGACTGTTGGAAAAGCATTCCAGGTGAAGCTGGTTGAGAGAATGCCAAGAGTGTGCAAAGCTGTCATCAAGGCAAAGGGTGTTTTGATTTGTTTAACACTTTTTTGGTTACTACATGATTCCATATGTGTTATTTCATAGTTTTGATATCTTCACTACTATTATTTCTACAATGTAGAAAATAGTAAAAATAAAGAAAAACCCTTGAATGAGTAGGTGTGTCCAAACTTTTGACTGGTAGTGTACAGTGGGGGAAAAAAGTATTTAGTCAGCCACCAATTGTGCAAGTTCTCCCACTTAAAAAGATGAGAGAGGCCTGTAATTTTCATCATAGGTACACGTCAACTATGACAGACAAATTGAGATTTTTTTTCTCCAGAAAATCACATTGTAGGATTTTTAATGAATTTATTTGAAAATTATGGTGGAAAATAAGTATTTGGTCACCTACAAACAAGCAAGATTTCTGGCTCTCACAGACCTGTAACTTCTTCTTTAAGAGGCTCCTCTGTCCTCCACTCGTTACCTGTATTAATGGCACCTGTTTGAACTTGTTATCAGTATAAAAGACACCTGTCCACAACCTCAAACAGTCACACTCCAAACTCCACTATGGCCAAGACCAAAGAGCTGTCAAAGGACACCAGAAACAAAATTGTAGACCTGCACCAGGCTGGGAAGACTGAATCTGCAATAGGTAAGCAGCTTGGTTTGAAGAAATCAACTGTGGGAGCAATTATTAGGAAATGGAAGACATACAAGACCACTGATAATCTCCCTCGATCTGGGGCTCCATGCTAGATCTCAAAATGATCACAAGAACGGTGAGCAAAAATCCCAGAACCACACGGGGGGACCTAGTGAATAACCTGCAGAGAGCTGGGACCAATGTAACAAAGCCTACCATCAGTAACACACTACGCCGCCAGGGACTCAAATCCTGCAGTGCCAGACGTGTCCCCCTGCTTAAGCCAGTACATGTCCAGGCCC